TGCTTTTGAGGAGAGGATCAAAAGAGTCCTAGCTCCCACTTTGATGGGTCCCAGGTGCTTTGCTGTGCCAACAAAGCAAGTGGCAGCAAGGGGTGAGAAGTTGGGATGACAGAGCATTTCAGTTTCAGCTTCCATTAGGACTGGCAAGCTGTGCAGGGGGAGATGAGTGACCCCTCACAGCGGGTGACAACGGGCTGGTGGAGCCCCTTAGAACCTGAGAGGAGAGAGGCCATGCTGGCTGCTCCTTCTGAGGGCAGAACATGTCCCCAGCAGTCTTTACATGACCTGTACCTGTGCAGTTTGATGGACCCTTCTATAATTAACCATTGTCAAGAACACTTCTGAAAACATCGGCTGGCATTTCAAATAGGAACATCAGATTAAGGAGAAGAGAGGTAATGAGGTGCAAGGAGAAAATTCTTCCCTGGGGAACAAATCAAACCTGATACCATCATGAAAGGTAATGAGAAATGCACTGCCAAACTGAGGTTCAGTGCATCTGCCTAGAGGAAACGAAACCGTGTATTCTTATTTCAAACACTCAGAGGGGATGCTAATGCTTTGGTCTGCTGGCTGTGTCAGGGCATGTGCAGCTTGCACACCTGCCTCTTGAATGTAGTTTTGCCACATGTTTCTTGGGCCAGTCATTTCACTTCTCTGTGACATGAGGTATGTCTACATCATTGTAAGCGTGTCAGTGCAAACAGAGCGTGCTTGTACACAGGACAGGTCCAGAAACTGTGACTGCATCTACACTACCAAACAACACAGGGATAAGTGGCACAGATAAGTCCTGTCCACACTACACAGAACTTGGCCTCTTGTTTTGTCTGGAGGAGTCAGACCTGTACCCTTCTGTCTTTACTGCACATCTTGTCCCCTGGAGCAGTCATGGGTGTCACCTGGGCTGGCAGTGCCAGACACTGTGCTGACAATTAAGGTATTGACCACCTGTGATCCTGTAAATCAATTTGTTTTCTGGCTGTGCTGCATTTAGCAGTATAAATGAAGCCTGTGTGGCCGTGTCAGCATGGCTGTGTGCCCACACTGATAGATAAGTCAGGGTTATTATTTCACGCATGGTGCTACACATTTGGAGGAGCTGTAGCCACAAGAGCTTATGCCATAGATACACTGAGTATTAGGTGACTGTCATCATAATTACTAACTTTACCTGTGTACCCAGTAGCTTGAAGTGTGCAAGAACCATGGATATTCTCTACATAGAAGCTGGAGCAAAATGTTGTTCCCCAGGAGAAGCACAGCACACCTGTAACAAAACTCTCTTGGCTGTGTGTGTGCTTTCCTGGGCTCCAGGCATGTGGTCACAGGACCCTTGGGGATCCAAGAGCCACCAGTTAAAGTCTGCAGACACATGGGACACAGTGGACATTGCAAGGAGATGGGCAGATACCGAGAGTGAGACTTCCCTTAACATGTTTGATGAGGCACTGAAACACCTGATGTGTTTTCAAGTACTTGCTCTGTCCCCTTCAGGGACAAGGATGCGATTTCACACAGTGGGCTGTAGGATGTGAGGACAGAGCTAGTCACAGTCCTGAGTGGCAGACAGTAGTCCTGCAGGGCTGGGAGAGCTGGGGACCATGAGGACCCCATGCCACGTGTTTGCTTTTCAAGTACATGCTCTGTCTTCTCAGGGACAAGGATACCATTTCACACAGTGGGCTGTAGGATGTAGGCTGCTGAGTGGCAGACAGTAGTCCTGCAGGGATGGGAGAGCTGGGGACCATGAGGACCCCATGCCACAAGGGGCTTGTTCTTATCCTCAGCTGCCATCCTGTTGATGTACCCTCAGGGCTGATAACAATCTTAAGTGTCTGCAATCTTGGTCTCATCTGTGTGTCACCTCTCTTCCTGTGACGGCTCTTCCCCCACACTGCCACAGAACCACAAGAGGTTTTGTTGCTCCCCAAGTTACATGTCAGGGAAACATTTACTCCATGCAGCTCTCTGCCATCTATTCTAGATCCTGATACAGGATTTGGGACTAATGCTGCTTGAGCTTCGTGCAGGGTTAGTTGTGTAATTTTTTCTACCAGAAGTCTTGAAAGACATTTTACTTAAATCTTGTGCAGTGTGAGCTGCATGGATATCAGAGAACGTGTTGTGAGTCAGAGCAAGGCAGTCAGTATTGCTGTGCTCCACAGAAGAAAAATATAAGGGCAACTATTACAGTATTTACAGAATAATTTTTCATATTGAGATTTGCATAAGCTTGTTTGAGTTCTTCAGCATAAAACCCCCATGATTATAGAGAGCCAGCTTCTTAAAAGAGTCCCTGTTTCTCCAGAGAACCCAGAGGAAAACAGTGCTTTAATACTTCTAAATTCACTTGAGGTGCCTGATGCTCTCAGTTAAACTCTACAGAAAATATATTTCTTCCCTTCACTGTTTTTGCTGTTTCCTTCTTTCCCTAGTGTTTCCCCTGACTTGTCTTCTTCGTGTCCCTAACACAAATGTAAGGAGAAATGACACCTTTTTTGCTCTGCAGATTTTCCCCCTGTGTGCATTCTTCCTGCCAGCAGCAGACTGCAAATGTTTCCTGCTTTTTGTCTTGAGAGGCACCTGGAGTGAAAAAGGCTGAAACAGACTGTGAGGCAGAGTGTGTTTGGTTCTGTGCATCATGACTGCTGGGTACTTACTGGTTTCTGGGCCACCTGGATACCTCCACAAGGCTGATGCGAGGCAGGTTGTGGAGAAGATAAGTAGGAGTAACCTGGGGAGGATTTCACCTGCAGAAACTGTTCCTGACCTTGCTAACAGGGGGGCTGGTTTCTAGATCCTTGTCCATAGGTCTGACAATTGGCAAGAGCAAACTGGGGGGATGTGATGTGGTATGTCCAAGTACATGGTGGTACCATGAAAATAGCATGTCTTTTCAGGGAGACCCTAATTCTGCCTCTGGGCCTCTTTTTCTCTTTGTTTGCAGGGGATGGATGTGTGTCCAAGTACGTGGTGGTACCATGAAAATAGCATCTCTTTTCAGGGAGACCCTAATTCTGCCTCTGGGCCTCTTTTTCTCTTTGTTTGCCATTTGCTGTTTCACTCATTTCATTGTCCTGTGAGTCAGAAGTTGACTGCAGTGTGGTAAAACACCCTGACTCCTTTTTAATCCAACCAGCAGTATTCTGTGGTCTGTCCTTTGGCTCATTCTCTCCCCGTACTCCCCTGACCTCCTTAGAAAAACTGTGCTTCTTGACTGTACAATTCTGGATTTGCAAGATTGATGTTCTCTAAGCATTTTGCACTGTGTTGCCTTGCATATTTTATATCAATGTTCTAATTAAGACATCAGATCATGATGGATGAGTGTTCATGTCAGTGACTTTTCTCTGAACAATGAAGAGTTGAAGGAAATCTCCAGGAGCCTGGGAAGTGTGTGCAAATGAAGTGGTCTTATGTGAGCTGTTAACATGCTCTTCAGGCAGAGTTTGGAGTTGATATGTGATCTCAGGTGGGATTCCCTCTAAACTGAAAAACTGCTTTGCTCTGGCTTTTCCCATACGTGCTCCCACACATCCCCTTCAGTGGTGGGCATCATCCCTCAGATGTACTAAAAGCAGCTCAGCCCAAATGCCAGGGAGGATTAGGTGTGAACATGGAAAAAGCAGAAAAATACCTGACCATGTCCAAGCTCTGCTGAAGGAGCAGAGTCTGGTCACAGAAAAGCTGCTCAAGGCTAAGCACTGTTCCTGTCAGAAGGCAGAAGCAGTGGACTGAGACTCTATTTTCTTTCTTTCCAGACTCATGTCAGCTGTCTTTTAGTCTGTGCTGCCTTTCCACTCCCTGCCCTTGTCTCCTTAAGTGTCTGTCTGCTACAGCAGCAAGAAATAAAAGACTTTCTTTGTGAAAGGAGTAAGTGGGATGTTCCTGGGTTCAGGAGTCAGCACCAGGCCAGTCCAGCTCATTTGTTTGAAGGATGTCTGTGCAAGACTTCTCACACTGAACGTGCCAGCCTTGCAGAAGTGACAGGGATGTGCAGCAGCCTCTGTGCTGCTGGTCACTCCTTGTGGCAGACAGTTTCAGTGATGTGATCAGCTCCTGAAACAGTGTGCAGCCAAGTGTGAGTTGGAGCTGTCTCCCTGGCATGGTGCCAGTCCACATCCCCTGACAGAGCATGAGCAAAGCAAGAGCTCCTGCCTTTTTGTCTGGAGCTGGTTGGTGGGGTCTTCTCCTGGAGTTTCACCAGCCAGTCCAGGCCATTAGCACCTTATGCATCTTCTTTCAGCTTTTTAACTGATTTTGGGTTCCAGTCAAGTGCAATCCCACCAGAATCCTGGAAGGAGGGATACTTAGGGCAGGCAAGCAGAATGCCTGTGTGTGCTGCTGGAACAACAGAGAAAATTGCTGGAGGCTGAGAAAGAAAATCCTTTGGGACAAAAGGAGCCTGACATCATAAGGGACAAGCCTCCAAATCTTTATCTCAATACAGGAGGGCAAATTGCCACTTTCAGAAAATATTGTATTCAAGAATTTTTGGGTTTGGAAGGTCAAGAGAAGGTTCATATCATTTTACAGTGGTGTCAAGAAGATGTCTCCCCTCTCTGTTACGTCTTCTTTTCATTCTTTTTTTCCTTTTCTATTTTTGTGACTGATGTTGAAGTTCATTTGATTTTCTGATTCCTCCTGCATTTAATTTCACTGAGTTCAGTCTCTGTCTGATTTAGAGTCATCATAATTTGTATTTGGAAGTGTGGGGTTAAAGTGATAAAATAAATTTGTTAAAATGCAGGGGTTTTTTTCCCATCCAGCTTTTCAAGATCTAATTATTTTTCAGCTGAACTAGTATGCAATTGATAGATGAAAATGTAAATTTACAGGTTTAGTATTCAAAGTATTTTTCATCTGATCAAAGAAAGGGAAGCATTTTACAAAACACAAAGCTTGCGTTCTTGCAAATGTCTGAAGTTATGTGGTTGTAGTCAAGCCATCAGGAAATCCACAGGGCATCCACTAATGCTTATTTCATTTTTCTGCAGGAGGTCTTGACCTTATCTTCATGCCAGGCCTTGGGTTTGACAAAAAAGGCAACAGACTGGGAAGAGGGAAAGGATATTATGATACCTATCTTGAAAGATGTATGAAACATCCCCGTGGAAAGCCTTACACGATTGCTTTGGCTTTTAGAGAACAGATTTGTGAATCAGTGCCTGTGACAGAAAATGATGTTCCAATAGATGAAATCCTGTATGAAGACTGCTGAAAGTGTTTTCATACCAACCTACCTCCAGAGCAAGCAACCAAAAAAGGTGTCATATCCATCAATCATGTTTTTTTCTAATTGTCATGTATGACTTTGGGACCAATAAAATACACCATTTGTGTTTGGGGGGGAAAAATCTCCAAAAGCAGTGTAACTCTGGTAATAGTAGTGATGATTGTGTTGATTTGCTTCTAATTAGCAAATGTCTGGTGTGAATTCTTATTCTAGAATCAATACAAACAAGAATGAGTCACTGTTTATTACAGTAAGGACCATTTCTTCTCATAATATTTTTGAGGTACAAGCTTCTTGATACTTAACAGTTTTAGTATTCTGGTTTAAAAGTGAACTGTTTAGTAATGACAGTTCTTGATCCATTCTGGAATTAGATCCTTGTAATGGTAAAAGTTCTTAGATATTGTGAAAGTTCCTAGATATTGTGTGCATTCATGAGCAAAGCAAGAAATTGATGGAGATGTCTTATACTAAGCTGGAGAAAAATGGTGATGGGGAAAAAAAGCCTTAATTAATTTGAGTGTATGCAGTAATTTTTACTGTTTACATGGCTCCTTGCAGTTGTCTTAAAATAAAGGGAGTACCTGTTAATAAAAAAAGGTTGATGTCCATAACTTTGGTGTGTTCTTTCCTTTATCTGAATTCAAGATTGTAATGTAGTCTAAAATGTGGTCAAAGAGATCTCTGTCCAGGGACAGCTCTGTTTTGGTAAAATAATATTCTAAAATTACTTTAAGTTCCCTAATTTTGTACATAAGCCATTCATAATGTCCCAAAATACAGTGTCATGCTATGTTGAAAAATTAGAGATGCTGAGAATTGCAGAGAGCAGGTTTTATGGATGGAATAAATTTTTAGGTGGAAGGTTGGTTGTTCTCTGCTTCTCGACACAATCATAGAAATCCAGAAGAAGAAAGTGAGTTTCTTCTGCACACTGTCCTTGTGGTATAAGAGCACAATATTTCCAAACAGGATCAATCAAACTGTCAGAATTTTGTGTTCCTTCTTCAATGCAACCTCACCTTTTCTATGCATGTTTAACTCTTCCCTCAATCAATAAATCAGTGTGTTTATTTTCACCAAACTATTCTGTGTCATCATTAAAAAAATCCATAAATTCTCAAGGACCAGCTCCAGAGTGGAATGACCTTAAGGCTTCCTCAAGAACAACTGGTTCTGTGAACAAAACCACGCCTGCAGTACCTGTGAACCTTTTCAGAGTGCTTGTATTCAGTGCTGTATCCATTCTGCTGATACAGGAACTACTTAAACCCTCTGGCTCTGGGGTGAGCATAGGCTTAGCAACTGAGGTCTCTGTGGGCAGTGCTCCCTGGTGCTTCTCCATCCTGTGTTAACCCAGCTCCATCTGGGCTGAAGATCCCTCTGGGCTGGCCTGCTGGGCACCCCACCCGTGTGTGCAGGAAAGCTGCAGCCTGGGCAAGGCAGCTGGGAGCACTTTGCAGTATGGGCTGCTCAGTAAAGCAGTGGTGATCAGAGCTGGCCTCCCATCCCTCCTTACCACACTGAGTCACCCTGCAAACAAAAGGGGTGTCCGTGGGTGCACGAGGGGTGGTGACAGCAGAAACTGAGGTGACAGCATCGGTGCTGGTGTTGGAGTGTCCCCCAGGTCTCAGCTCTGAGCACTGCCAGCTGCACTGCCTGACACCAGGGAGATGGAGTCCTGCCATTCCAGATCTCTAGGGAATAAGTGATGGGAAAATCAGACCTTTTTTTTTATACAATCTCTGCCGTGTCAGTATTTTAATCCCTTCTTCATTTCTGAACTTCCATTGGCACACAGAGAGCAACAAAACGAAACAATGGGGCAGGTTTTGTGTGTGGCAGGCCTGTGTCTGGGTTTGTCTGCAAAGCTGCTCGAGTTCACCTGCCACATTAGGCTCAGCACTGTGCCATATGGCTCAGCCTGCCACCAACATCAACAAAGCCACGCTGAAGCCAGTGCTTGTCACAGCAGAAACCTGGAACCTGCATCTGATACATGTTTTAAATGCATATACTAGGTTAGCTTAGCTTAACCTATTGGCTTAGCTTTTGTTCTTGCTGTTTGAACTTTAATTTATTCACTAGAATTAGGGCTGCTTGGCTTGTAGGTATTCCACTAGGGATGATACCAGGTGAACAACTGTGTGCAGAAAGGCCAGCATATGGGGAAGAGGCTTCAGAGCCAGCACTAGCAGCTGTACAGAAACAAAGGGCTGAGAGACAAGGACTTGGTTTTGTTGTGTGAGAGTTCAAAATAGGAGGGGGTGAAGTGAAAGACAAGATTTTGGATGCAAAACACAGGCCCTCATCCAGCACAGCCACAGACAGGGAGCAAGCTTTGTCCTTGTGGGCTCACTGGAGTTGCTGGAACTAATTGGTGTAGAAAAAGCAAGCAAGCTTTGAAGGTTTTCAGGACTTGAGGCAATGAGTGTCCCCAAACTCCTTATGTCTCAGATCACTTTTCAGTCCCTCGTGCAGCCATTCTCTCCCACTTTGACTCCAAACTGCCCTTTTGGCTATAGCTGCAGTGGGAAAGGATGAGGAGGCTATTTAATGTACTGTATCATTGGGAACAAGAGGAGCTGGTGCTTTGTTCCTTGCCAGCCTCTCCTGAGTCAGGAGTTGATGATTACAGGCTCATCAGCCAGGCTGGGGGAGCTGCAGGACCCTGGCTGATGCAGATAGCTCTTAACATTTAGCTGGTGGGGATAGTAAAACGATATTTATGTATATTGTCTTGAGAATCACGGAGCTAAATAAATGTGGCAGTTTTCATTTGACATTCCCAGCCTTGCTGCTGTCGCTCAGGGTTTTTCCTTTTGCCACAGAACATGAAATCCCTGTCAGTTTGATAGTATATAGCAGTGTTCCTGAAGCACAAAGGTTAGGGGGGTGGGGGGCGCGTCAGGATTATTTACGTTTGCTATGCATGAAGTGGCACTCGGGGAGCGAGGCAGCCTGCCAAGACTGAGAGGAATCGGGGCTGTCTGGTTGCTCTCTTCTATCTCTCCATGCTGGATTGTCAGGGTAGGATTTATAAAAATTGCTTCAAAACAGTATCATCTTTCCTCAAATGGACGTGCCCCCGTCTGGCGCAGCGATTGCCATTATTGCTGTTCTCGTGACAAAGCGTCTATCAATCTCCACTTTGTTTATAAACAAATCTGCCTGCCCTGCATAAGAAATAGATAGACTAAGGAAAAACACCATTACCAAAGGAATAAGTTAATTATATTTCAGGATCTCAGCGGGGAATGCTATCTCAGACTATTCAGTAAGATCTGACCAGTGGAGTTATAATTAAAAAATGTCCCCAGGGAGGAACTTGTAAATTATTTACTGTAAGGGGCTTTTCCAGGCTCTTTTAGTTTAATTACACACTCTGGAAGAGAAAGGCCTCAGAACTAAATTAACTAAGATGTTGAAATGGCTTTGTTAAAATCATGTTTACAGCTAAGCAAGTCAGTGACTGTGAGCAAGGTTCAAATATAGGACAAATCTTTGAAAACTGCCATTACTCATGGTTTAAAAATCATACGGAAAGCACCAAAAAGTCTGTGCCTAGAAAATGCAATGGTTTTGTCCAGTATTTCCTCTGGCCTCAGAAGGCTTTGTATAAGCCCAGATCTGACAGTGCCTCATGGCCATTTCCTTTGTGGGAAAGGAACTGACTTGTTTGGGCTTTTCTGTGGGGTACAGAGGGAACTGGTTGGACTTGATGATCTTACAGGTCTTTCCAGCCTGAACAATTCTGTGAGTTCATTATTCTAAGCCCAAACAGAGGGAGATGAAAGATTAGAGGTGATGGAGAGGCAGAATAAGAGGATGCTGGGACGCTCTGAATTTTCCATCACTCTTTCACCATCTAGGACATTTTGACTCAAAACAGCCTGGTTAACCCTTAGTGGAAGGTGGGCTGAGTGTGTCCCTTGGTGCTGAGGGACAGGCACATGTTGTGACCTTTTCAAATGTGTGGGTGTAGACAGCTGGCATGATCTCTGGTCAGATGTGGAGAATGGAAGTCAAGAAAGCTCCCCCTTCATCTCAACCACTGACTCATTGCTTGGCCAAGAAGGAGGCATTATCTAATATCTGTTTGCTAAGGCATAAGACAGCCAGGAACGCTCTATCTGCCTGCCTGTTGATGCCAAATTCTATGTATGCAATGGCCTTTCAGCTGCAGTTGCCCTTGAATTTGTTGATTTCTGAAAAGCCCCACGTCTGCTGTGGCACCTTCACCACAGAGCCAAGGGCTGCACAGAGCAGCTAGCCAGGCAGGGCTGGGCCCAATATACATTTATGGGCACTTCTCTTCACACTGAGGGCCCTTTTTCTTTCAAATTTATTGCACTTCCATGTCTTGCTCAGATGGAAGCTGCCCCAGAGTTAGGAATCTCTCCACCCCCTGCATGTGTACAGTCTTCAGCAGATGCAGTGTGATTGTAGCTTGGGGGTACCATTATCACATCCTAAGCAATAAGTTCTCCACCTTCAGGCAAACTATCTGCAAATCTGGAGATGAAAGCTGCTTTAGTCGTTCATCAGGCAGATGAGATCTCTGCTTTTATTTTGTTATACTGTAAATCTGCTACTTAGTTTTCTACTCTCTCTGCAAACCACTGAATCATAAAAATGCTTGTAGCAAATGCCAGCTTGTCTGTCACCAGTATAATGCATTTTAAATGGCTTATCAGCTCCAAGAGAAGACTACAATACTTTGGAGATAATTTGGATATATAGTTAGGGAACAAAATATGTTGTCAGCTTTCAAATTGTCTTGATCAGTAGATTTTATTTTGTATTTTACTATAGTGTATCCAGTCTTACCTTGGGAGGAAAGAGAAGATACCCCTGAATTTCTGCAAATTTTCCCCTTTTGATGGGGAAAGCCATGGAAGAGTGGAGTGGGACAGAATGTAAACCAAAGGATTCTTCTTGAAAGCACAGGACTATAGGGTTTGAATATTCTGAGCAGAAGTACTGCCATTTAATTATTAGGAGTGGTGAGTCCATTTTAACCTTTATGGAAAAGTACTGTAGGCTATAATAAAGCTCAATACCTTTCTATAGCCTTTTGTTATCACCTTGTCAAATTTAATAAAATATTACTAACAAAGAAGTTCTATTAGGATGGCTGAAAAAAGTACTGGAAAGGATCATCTCCTATTAAATAGTTTTGATTCACCATTTCCCCCACAGTATATGAGTGTCCAAGTGGTGGAGCAGGACACTGATAATTTCCTCTTGAATTATGGGGACTTCATCCTGCTCCTTATCCCTGATTTCCAGCTCAGGAGGGGCCTGCTGAACAACTGGTCTCACTATTAGAGACTGAGCCAAAGAAGGTCTAATTAAGTACCTGAGCTTTTTCCTCATCCTCTGTCTCTAAGTTTCTCCTC